ACTGTGATTTTTTTTCAATACTCTCTTTTGTATTCCATTCATAGCTTGCTAGACATAGATTCAATGTCGCGGATGGCTCATAAAAACTTCTCTACACTTAATAACTGACGGAAGAAAACCCCTTTCAGATTTCTTGTTTTCCTTTTTTGATCTCTGCGAAACTGAACGTGGTTGCTAATGTGTTAAAGAATATTAAGTAAAGGCTGAACAAATGGGTTTTTTCTAAGATCCTGTGATAGCCGTGAAAGGACTTTCTTAGATCCTCATCAAAGGTGGAACTGCTGGCTGTTCTGGGTCGGGAAGAAGCCTTCTGTCGGGCAAGCAGGATTCTTGTCCCCTGTAGCGGCATCGGTTGCAACAATTGAAAATTCGATCAAAGACAAGGGAAAAGACATGTAGAGTTTGGGAATCGCAAAAAAGGGTTCTTGGAAATGCTCAAACGTCACCTAAATCTTTAATGGATTTATGCACACCTACGAAGCCATTTGTTGTGCAATAGAGTAAGCCGCAGTACACAGAGAACGACTTCCGACACGTATAAAATCTAGGCGTCACGAGTTCCGCTTATCAGGTCGTATACGACTCTACCATTAATACTATACGGATTGTCGTCATCATTACATTGTCAAATCATCTTCATGTTATCTCCGTCATTCATAGATTATGTCATGCCTTATAGTGGGTTATTTGGAGAAAAAGTTATTTACGTTATTCCATTTAGCGGATAATTTATAATTATGAAAGGGAAAGCTAAGGGCTATTTCGCCAGAAGAGGACTGCTTATGAAGAAATAGTCTTTTCTTGTTTTTTCTTTCTTTTCTTTCTTTCTTCTCCTTAACTCGAAGAAGAGGTACTTCTCGTAAACGTTTTAACCACTAGTCATTCTGATTGTTGGGTACTGAATTTTGGAAATTACATACGCTTTCCTTTCTTTCCTAGCTAAGGAGTTTTGGTTACAAGCGTTTCTTACTTGACTAACAATCGGTTTTTGGGCAGCTTCTTCCAGTTTTTCCAATATTCACGTTTTTCTGGACGTTTTCGTAGTACCTACCGACAGTAATGGATTCTTCATGAGACGAACATCTGATGGAGCTCCCACATCTGTTTCATCGGAAAATGGTGTCTTCGCGGCGTACTTGTAAAACTTGTGAAAATTTTGCTACGGCTTGTTCCTTACCTTTTGGTATTTTTTAAAATTTTAAACCTGAAATTGCCACAAGCAAGTCAGCAAGTTGGTTTTCTTCTTATCTGATTTCAAGCCTCAATTTCTATTTAATCCAGCGGTACATTTATTAGCAGAGATAAGACATTTACTTTCAATCTCTTGAATTCATTTTTCAAGGCAGTTTCCTTAAATAATTTGGAATCAGGATCGAGATTGGTCAGTAAATTACGATGTTTGAACGAAGTTTCGTGAAGTTATCTACATTATATTCGAAACATCTGTCTAGAACTTTACTGTAATGGCATGGAAATAGTCGAGTAAGTCGCGATGTTGTCATTGGTCCTTTCCAGACTCTTAAGAACGTGAATTCCAGTGAAACAATACACACTGTAAAAATACACGTTATATCTGACTTCATGGTAATGCGGTAATTCAGTGGTTGTGAGGTCATGTGACTTCATGAAATTCGATAACTACGGTAACCATACATTCTTGAAGGGCGCGTAAATTTAAAAGTTCTGAAGAATCTCAACTTAGCTTTGGAAATGTGGTCTTTGAAATGAAATGAACATCCACAAGTTTGTCTCCTATAGAGGAAACTCGGATAGCGACCATTTTAGTGAAGTCACATTTTGATCCGTTTTTTTGCAGAATCTAAGTCGGTAACAACGAAAGTAAAGAAGAAAATTATTCGGATTCGACCCGGATGGTGTAGTGGTGAAGTGCGCTGCTCCCCGGTAAGGACAACAGCGCGTGTTCGTTCTCCACTGCATACACCTGTGGTCCGGAGTTTTGCAGATATCTCAGCACTTCATACGAATTATTCGGATAGTCTAGACTAGGTTTTGTTGTTTCTAGTACTCATTACTTCGTACGTTTCCTGGCAAGTGTAAGTTTTCTTCTTAAATATTTGAACTGATTTCGAAACCTTGCATCAATCCGTCACAGACCTTTAAATGAAGCGTTCAACTTCTTTTTTTCATTATCCTCCTTTCGAGTTTCGTAGTGCTGGTACACAATTCCCATCGATCTGCAAAGTTGCAGACTGAAGCTAAATGAGATGCAAACGAAAGTAAAGAAGAAAATTATTTCGACCTTTGATACTCAAGTCCGTCTCTTCTATGCATTTCAAATGTCAAGCTTCTTTCAGAAGCCTGGTTATATACTAAGATGGCCGATGATTCCACAAATAATCGCATAGAACTCAGCACATTGTGCTCCATTTGATTGGTAATTTCCGGGTCGTGTAATGTTTCCTTTTCCTGGAGTCTCTAGATAGCTCTGCTATAGCTTTCACAAATCGTCAACACACACAGTCACCACCCGCTGTTTGTCTGAACGTGGTTTTCCACATTGTGACTAGGTTGCCAACATGATAATGGACTTCAAGCAGCACCCTGCTCCAAACGGAGCTTCCTAATAGGAACGTAGAACGCCTTGCCTAACGTCGCTGGGGGGTAAATTCATCGCAGCTCGATAGCCAACAATACTGTGTAGTCACAATGAGGCAGTACACCATACCACGGTCGCTGCTACTTTTTCGGCAGTTTTCCTGTGGTTTCGCGATTATTAGTGCCGCAACGAATCATTTGTTGGTTATTTTTTCTAGAGTATGATACTCCTTTGTTTCTATTTTTAAGTGACTAATTCGTTACTGTTTTTTTGCATGATTCACTTCTGTGTTCCACTCGTGTCCTCCTCATGTGAGATTTCTCCACTTCCTCTCGAACTAGGAAGATGCTGCAACTTTGATTTTTTATGTTAGGCTGAATTTTCATTCTGATAGTTGAGATAATTTCATTCGGATAATTGTGTATCACACACTGTTTACTTTCTAGATGTTCTGTGGCCATCTGACCGATGATGGATGAGAGACTTCGCATCCGACAATAAAGGGCAGGAGGCTTAGTGGGGGTAAGCTTTAATAGCTGGACAACAGTGAGTCGGAAATGGACCTATACATTCTGAGGAAGCTCGGTCCGTCAAAACGGTGGTGGAATCAAGTGCATCTCAGTAGGGAAGGCGAAAGGATCATCTTCCAACTAGTGTTTCTCATCGCTCATTATTACTCTCCTTCGCTTCCAGCAATAACGGGATCAAATTGGTAGAGGAAGCAGAGGAAGTACAAGGTGATTCAGTATCGCTTCCGGAATAGGAAATAAAGATGATAATTTTCTCGAAAACAATGGACTTTCATTTGTATTTTGCGATGAAATAAGGAGCGCAATATGATATCAAAATAGATATCTGGGGAAAAAGTTTATAGGTTAGTACGGTAAATAAAGAGGTAGAACTTTCAGCGCTAGTCGAGGCATCGTCTGATTGAATGGACATTTGACCTACACAATGAGTCGCCGTGACTTAGTTGTGTGTTAAGTCAGTTGTGCTATCCTACCAGACATGTCTGGTAGCAATTTGCTGACATCGGAGGGTTGAAACGTTTGGTGATACCGGTGCGCGGGACGGCACCAGCCACCACGTTTGTATTGCAGAACACATGTAGCAACTGCACTATACGCAAAAGCAGGGCAGAAAGAAGGGAAAGGTGTCAAGCTTGCTTACAGTGTGATATATTAACGCTCATTATACGACTACAACATTTTCGTGAAATGTCTTCGTGAGTGAAAATACCGGAAACTTCATCTCCTGTTCGGCGCAAAAGCTGAACAGAAATCAACGGTAAAAGAATGTAGAAAACGTGTCTATACTATCACCACGTTTGATTTCTTCTAGAAGATTCTATATGGTCAAGACTTATCAGTTAGTTCTTATACCTGACGTCTGTGAGTCAGGATGGAATGTTGAATTTTTCATAGCTTTACCGACTTTCATGAGGGACTGATTAGTGCGTATAAATTTAAAATCACCTACTTTGTACCTTGTTCGTTCTTATAAAGTCGTTTACATTGCACAGACTTTTATTTATCGCTGAGATTCAGAGTAGATTCGTTTCATCTTAAGATGACGATTGTTAAGTTAACACTACTCTTAAAGTGTTGCAGATATGCCGATGGGATGACAAGCGCGTTTACTCTATCCGATATGACAGTGATGTGCGAGGGAAAGGACCAACGGGAATTCTCGTGATTATTTTGCTAGTTACAAATATACTTTTATGTTTTACAAAGTTGTTGCGAACACCCACAGTTTTCTGTTGTAATAGGAGAAGAATGAAGTCCACCTTTTTCTTTAGAGCCGAAGTCTCGCCGTGTTCTCCGAGAGGTGAGGAGATTCTTCGAATGCGACAGGAATTGGAGTAAGTGTGCAGAGGATTGTGGTTTTCAAAATGTAACCGAACTGTTTGCCTCTTTCACTTGGGTCGTTGATATTTTCATAGCTGAGCACTTATAAAAGCAAGATTGTGCGAGTAATATATGAGTAGCAAATTGTGATGGTCTCCAGGCTTTCTCATCCTTTGTTCCAACTTTGAAGGCGGGTACAACTGTCTGTTCGCGTTTTCAATTCTAAGGCGTCTGTAAAGCAACGGTTAAAAGTTTCCTGCTATACCACGACGTCGCTGGTTCGATATAGCAATGGCGCTAGTCGAACCCCTTCCTTCTGGGATCGGTATTTCGGTTCCAGATTAGTCTGGGAGTAAAACAGCTGGCTTTGGCTTAGTACATCGGTAAACTCCCACAACTAAGAGAAGTATTCATTTAGTCAGCTCTGCAGTGCTACTAATAGAATCAAATTCATGGCTCACCCTGATCAAACTCACCTAAGAGATTAGTCATTACCAGAACTTTACTATTTACTTATATATTTATTTGTTTGTTCATTTATCTGCTTCAATTCCAGTGCTGCTCGTCGATCATTAATCGAAAAAGACGAAAAAATGTGTCGGTTGTCACGAATTCAGGACTCGGTCGACGCCGAAGTTCAGGAGCTCACCGAAAAGCTCTTTCAGGTCCTTCGTTCAGCAATCGATTGTCAGATCGTTTGTTACTAAATAAAACATGCTTTGTCTAGAATTTTGAAAGGCAGTCATAGCAAAAGGCAAATAAAAGAAGCAAATAAATCAATGAACTTTTTTTGTACAGGAGGCCTACAGAATGGTGAACTATGCTGAAGAGCGACGTGAGCGAGCTGAAAAGCTCATGAATGAATCTCGATTACAGGTTCGGGCAGAATCAATACTTGAATTATGCTTGTCTAAAAAGGTTTCACTTAAATAACCTTTTTTACTGTTTAGAAAGTCCGTAAATATTTCGCGATCTAATGGATCGTTTTTGTCCTGCACAATAATTACTACTGCCTAAGTTGCATATTCTTATAATTGATATCTGTTTTGATTTGTCGATTGTTGTATACCTTTGGTCCACGGGATTAGATTTTTAAGAGACGTAATTTTGAAAAGTTGGAGAAATTAGCTTCGTGTGAGAATCGGAGCAGTTGGAATAACGTCCTTAGTTCTTTCTGTGATGGCTATATAAACCTTCGCTTTATTCCTTGGCTTGTTCTACATTTGCAATTTGGTGAACTCTTTTCGTTACAAGTTTATCATGACAGAGTGGTCCCAATAACCTCAATTTTAGGTTGAGGTTCTTTCGGCAGAAGTAACTGCGTTGAAGTTATTGGTCCAAACGCCAGGCATGGGTCAGAATCACTTTCAGCACACTTCACCCGAGCACAAGTCGGCATTGGCGAAGCTCTTTTCTTCTTGTAAGTGCCTATATATAGGGCGCCTTTGGCAGAATGGTTTGAAGTGCTTTGTAACCACTTCTATCTTTCAGGACTTAGGAAATTGGTAGCAGACTTGTTCGGGACAATAAAAAAAACTGACTTGGTCAGTCGCTCACAAAAGTCGTTGTATCAGCCGTTCATGCGTTTAGTCACCTATATAATGCTTCCAATAGAGAGTAATGGAGAGTAATAGAGAGTAATAGATAGAGTAATATGCTTCCAATAAACGTACAAATTCACCTATCAGAAAATGGCTACATTACAAAGTGGTACCGAAAGCCAAGTAGTAAAAATATCTTGGTTCATTACCTCTCCTCTCACCCCTCTCACACGAAAAGGGCGCTTATAAGAAACATGTTTCGAACAGCAACCAACGTGTGCACGGGAAGAGAGCAGAGAGAGGAGTCCCGGAACTTGGCACGGCAAATAGCCCTTTCTAATGGCTACGAAACTGTAGCTCAGGATAGGTGTAGAGGAAATCGTAGGCCTCCAAACGACAACTCTAGCGATAGAAGGGTCCCGTTTATCCTACCCTTCATCTCAAATGATATAAGTACAGCTATAAAACGCTGCTTAAGAAGGACGGGCTTGGAGAATTCGGTGAGCGTAGTTGAAATACCACCGAGTAATCTTAAGCGCCAGCTAGTTCGTAACCGCCTATATGACCGTCTATGTGCAACTCAAAATTGCATAATTTGCCCCAGTGGTAGAGACGGTGATTGCATGAGCTCGGGTATAGTTTATCTGATCTCCTGTAAGACGTGTGGTGACGAATACATTGGCGAAACGGGTAGACCCCTCTGTGTCCGCATGAAAGAACACCTAGCCGGCAAAAATAGACCAAATACCCCGCTAGGCACGCATAGGACCCAGAGACATAACGGGGACGACTTCGAAGTATGTGTCACGATCCTCGCACGCGAATCGAGAACACAGGCGCGAAAAACCCTCGAGGCACTCTGGATTAATTCCAGAAATCCGAAAATGAACCGCAGGGAAGAATGCCTCATTATCACGCGTGATATAGGGCAGTATATAAAACTGCTTTTCTGATGTGAGGAGCACATTATACTTCCACGTGATTTCTGTGCGGTTGGTCTCTACGTGACATACTTAGTGGAGACCTCATAGAAAGCGGTGAGTGTGCAAAGCTGTGTTCAAAGTGATTGAAATCTTGGTTTGGGGTTTCTTTGTTTGGTTATGGAGGCGTCTGGCCGAGTGAGTTGCTATCAACTTGACCTTTCCAGGCTCTGAAGAAGGCGAAATTCGCCGAAACGTCAGCTTAATCGTGAACAAAGAACAATAACACCTCGCGTTTGCTCAAAAAAATACGAACAAAATCGCTTCCAATAGAGTCGAATTCGTGACTAATCCTTAAGGGTTTATCAAAGCTGAGCGCCCTATTCTTTTTAAAGCGTTTGCAAGTAACTGCATTTATAGTCACCTTTGATAACTTGACAACTGTTTAGCATCCACAAGGAGGTCCAGTTCATCAGGAGCAGTTCAGTCAAGAAAGTCTTGCACTTTACCATCGCTGAGTTCTCACATGGCACGCGAAATGGAGAAGGACAATGAGCAGAAACAGGCAGAAGCTGTTGAAGAGGTTTTGTGTGCACATTTTGGTCGTCGTCGTACCGAGTACCGATGGTTTTTCCTCATTAGCACCGATGCCCAATACGTACTGGTTTTTGTTCTTTCAATCGCCAGAGCTTCTTATTTTTCTCGCCTAGGAGCTTATCATATCGTTATTTTACGCTGATTTTACAGGTGATTGAACCACCGTGGCTCTCATGCCAATCTTGCTTTTCGCACTGACAAATAGGGATTGCCAGAATCCATTTAAGGTCGATCCTATTTTGATGGCTGAATTTACATCATGGCGTGAAGCTGGTCATCCGCTAGCGCATCACCCTTTCATGGAACGCGTCAATATCGAAGAAGTAATACCTTGTATGCTTTTCCACGCTAAGCAGGTACATTTTGTTTACATGGTTTTTTTTCCAATATCTGTTTTTATGATTGTGGATGTTATGGGTATTGATTCGAGCTAGACTAACAAGTTAATTGCTGCGTCGTTCGATATAAATTTATCTGCTTTACTACTTTGATGGTCAATTATCGTAATAGTGAGCGAGTAAAAACAATAGAAAAGGTGATAAATGGTTAGGTGCATGTTTGACATAAGTAGCAAGAAAACTTTATTGTTATCACCTGTCCCACCTGTCCACCTCCTGATCGTTGAGTGGTGTTCGCTTTAGGGACTCGTTGAGCCTCGTATCATTCTTCTAGGATTTTCCTGAGGAGCTCTAACTATTAAGTGGGTGCTCTTCCTGGAGTACGATTGACATACTGAGGAATCCAGTCACAGACGGCTGTTGTCCATTGATTATTGTTCATACGCATATGCATTACGCCCATCTCATCCTCGACAATTTGGCGCGTAGAACGGCATCTTCAATTTTTAATTGTTGACGTAGGTTGGAGCTGTGAGTCCCTTCTTTCAATTTCGTGATACGGTATACTCCTAGCATCGTCCTTTCGTTTATGCGTCCAATAACGCCGAGTGATCATTGATCTTGCTTGCGCAGCGACCAGGTTTCTGACGCCTACATTAAGGAAGGAAGAATAGTGGAGTCGAAAACGTGCGCACCGAGTCGGGTGTACTTTGTTCTCTTCACTACATTCTCGATGCTCCTATAAGCTCCCTAAGCTGCTCGCTTCCTTCTTCTCAACTCTGGAGCTGAGTCGCTCATCGCGTTGATTCCCTGACCAAGATGGACGTGACTGGAACATTCGGAGATTTTCATTTCGTTGAGTGTGAATGGGGCATAGGTAACCAATCCGTTCTTCCTGAACATCGCTTTCGTGGGCAAGATTAGTCGAAGACCAATCTTTCCACAGGCGTTATCAAAGTCGGCAAGACTCGTTTCGCCTGGATAATGCAAAAACGGTGTCATCGGCAAAGTGAAGATGGTGCAAATACCTAGTTTCGATGCCGATTTGCACTCTCACGTTGCCCATTTCAATATTCACATGACATCCTGCATGGTGGCAGTAAATATTATTGGCGAGATGATGTCGCCTTGTCTAACCCCCTTTCGACGTCAGCGTTCTTGAGCAAGAATGCAGTCTTGTTGGTCTTCCATTGCATAGAAACATCGCCTTCTGACATGTAACGTGTGGTAAGCCGATCCAGTTTATTGATGAGGACTGACAGAAAGTTCCCCAAGTGTTCAGATCCTATCCTTTCTCAACCAGGTGTTGTTCGATTTTTCACCGACTGAATAGGATGTCGGATTTCGGCAGATAGAATCTATGGGACTATGTATCCATCCTCCGAACGTGTGGGACTATGTATCTATCCTCCTTTTTTCGTATAGGGGCAGAAGTATATGGCTATTGAAGAGATCCGAGTAGTAATCGTTATTGATTTCCTTCGTTGCCTTTCTGGACGCCGTACCTGTTCTGTCTACGCTTAGGAGTGCAATCATCATCGTTTTCTAATTGGCGAGGCATGGGCTTTGCGAATGCTCCTCCCAACATCTGCAGCTTAGACCTTAACTGCTGCTTTTCTCTCTTTAAGATCTGTTTTTATTGTTTGTCTGCATGGTTTTGTAAGTTCGGACGAAATTAGCGCTTGCTTGTAGCTTGTGCGATTCCACGCTGGCGTATCAGCTCGTGTGGTTCCGGAAACAGAAGTCGCTTGGTGATCTTCGAAGTTTTAGCTTTCATAGCGCTGACGTGAAAGCGTTGAATGAGCCCATCGTATTCTTCGTCGATGTTACCAAGAACGACATCCTCCTAACAGCCGACGAATGATCTGAATAAATCCCAGTTTATGGTCCATATAGAACGCTTCGTCTTCGTCTTCGTCATAGTTTGGTGTCGGTGCTTAGACGACAAAGATTGTCAAAGCCAGTACTAATCCACATCTTTGCAACCGTAAACGTCCGATTCAGGTTATTTGAATTAGTCGCCGACGTTAGCGACTTCTCTAATGTTGCTTTTTCCGAGGAACAGTTCTTCTCCAGCATTCTACAGAGCGTTAAATCGGCGGAGTCTTCTCATCTCGGCCAGTTCGACGACGTTGTGATTTATGGTGATTTATTGGTTTTAGCGTGTATCATCAGGTCCTCAACGGACAATTCGAATGCAAGTGAGGTTGCGCTGTATGTACAAATCGTTACATTAATTCCTCGAAGCTTAGGCAGCCTGGAGTGGCCCTGAGATTTTAACAGCCTTTCCGTACTTGTTCTGCCCAACTTTGCTGTTTTAGGGTGTCCTTCATGTTCAGAGGAATGAAGTCCATTTACTTTACTGTGTTTAGCGTTTCACACCGACGTTTAACTAGCAGATCGCTGAGCGTGGGTGCAGGGAAACTCAAGGGTAGCTTGCCAGTTTCTCTCAGGATAGACAAAAATCTTATATCTTGGAAGCGACTCCTAACCGCCTCCCATGAAATTCATCCCATTGAGTTGATTGTGCATGGTAAAATACAATCCGCATAAACGAGAACACATCCATACACGCATTCATGAAGAAGTCTTCGTAAACACTGAAGATATGTGCAAAATCGGCGCAGCATAAATAGAGAGTCCATCTGGACCTACATGCATCTCAGGAAAGCACAAAGTCACTTTTGGTCCGCGATTAATCGATGTCCTTACTCAGGGGACACGATGCGTTACCGGACGATCAACCCGCAACAGATCCCTCTTTGAGAGAGATCCGTGGTTTATTGTCATAATGCTAACAAGTTTTCTCAATTTCCAACTTTCATATAGATCAATCAAAGTTGTTACTTACTTGTACTCTCTGCGGTTCCCTTCATTGTAATACTCGCTCGAGATCAGTCGATTATTATACTTGCTCGACCATTTTCAATTCTTATTCTCGCTCAAGCTCATTCGGTTGCTAAACTCATTCGGGCTCGCTCGGTTCTTGTTCTGGCTAGGTGGGTTTGCTCATGCACATTTGAACTGTTTGTTCTTCGTTTTTCTACTCTTAAGGCCAACGAATTTACGCATCTCCTTATAGGGTTGTTCTAATAGAACTGAGCGATATTTAAAAACGTGGACATATCTAATGTGCAAGAATGTGTGAGCATTAACTTATTACTGGTTACTGATTTGTGAGTTGGTAGTAGTAGGCGTCAGTTACGAAGCACTACATCAGGGGTTACTGAAAACTGTTCTGGATTTCCTTTCTACATTTTCCTGAAGCTGTTTAATCTTTCGTTCTTCACAAATGACTCTTTTTCGCTTTTAGCTCTAAAGTTTGACTTTTCTATATCTTTGTTTTCAAGCTATCCGACGACATTCTCGATTCCATCGCTGCTAATAAACTGGAATTGGAACCTGTTCACGAAGAAAAACCATCAGTAATGTTCGTTTAACTTAGGTTTAGTATTTCACCTAAGCATTATGTGACAGATGACATTGCTGTCGACTTTGTCAGTTATTCATCTCATGGTATTTCTTCTGATGTTTCTTATTTATTTTCAATTTAGGCTTTGTGCACTAACGAACATCTCTCGATTTTGTCCATACCGTGTTCGTGTTGCTGAAGACAGCCAATGGCACAGAATATCATTATTAGCTCGGAATCGGGTTCGTCTCAGTTCTGATTCTAGTTTCATCCATGTATGTAGCTACTGCCCAGCGATAGTGAATCTCACGTGCAATGTATGCATATTGATTGGCAGAGGAGCGTTTTGAGTTGTTGAACTTATGAAGTTATCCGCGCTAAAAATATATTTTATTTTTGGCTAATTATTTAATTAAGAATTCGTCCATGTCAAGCTTCATCCCTTTAACTTCCTACGTTTCTGCTTTATTGGTCCAATTCTGAATGAGACCTGATTTTCAGGACAGATTACAGTATGATCAGTATCTATATGGTTGTGAAAGTGTGTTTATCGCTTTTTTCTTTACAGATCGCCGCCGTTTGTGACTATTACACATTCATTCGCTACTTACGAGGTGGTTTGATCAAGTCCGGCATTCGAGATGCTTACTTCGATGTGATGACGCTAAGAAAGAATATGTGCCTAGCTAAGTTAGGACTTGGATTTGTACCAAAAACTAATCTACGTCATGGATTCTAGGCTTATCCGTTGCTATTGTAGTCCACTGGATACTGAGCACTTTAGTGGTATATGATTCGTTCAATAATGTAACAACTATTTCCTTTTCTACAACTTGCTCCCCATTTAAAAATCGATTATCGATTGCTGACCGTGCAAAGAACTGTACCATTTTTTCGCCCAGAATTTGTACGTCACTTTCAGTAGTGTTCCCATCAGTGTGTGGTTCTCTTCTTTATAGACGTATCCTAGTCGATAGAATAATGTTTAAACGCCTTTTTTTTCTCTTCATTAAACCCCTTATACAGGGCAGATTAGGTTATCCTTCTTCTGGTTTTTTCATAGAAAAATCCTCATGCATTTCGGATCGTTTTACCCGTTTTTCTTCAGAGTTTTCGATATTTATGATGTTTCATAGCTTTCGTGACTTTTAAACTTTTTTTCGCATAAGGTTTATTGATTGGATCAGGGATGCTGGCATGCGATTAGCTCTGTTCGTCTGCACGCTAGACGAGAGAGTGGATCATATTTTTCACTTTGAATTGTTTAATGGTGCTCGAAATATGAGTCTGTGGACTTTTTTCGGAAGGTTTTTTTTTGTTATAAGGTGTATCTCTACTTGAAATCCCTGATGAGTATGAACGCCACTGTGCTCGAGAAATGTCGCTATTCATAACTTTATTACTTTCCCGCTAATAGTCGTCGTACCGTCTGACCGTGAGTTGCTCTTGGATGTTTTTGTTGATTTTTCAACTTTCAAATAGCTCTCATCTCTAATGTTCACTCTTTTCTTACATTCTTTGCCTATACTGGTAAAGTGACAACTATAAAGGATAAAGCTGTCGGCGTTGATCAATCCCTGAGGGATGCGCTATGCATTCGACTTCATTAGACATCGTTTGGAGGTGATTGAATGCATATTTGGCCTTTACTCTACAATGACTCGAAGTGGCCAACCGATGTATCGAGCCAGTGCTGCTATCCTCGTAAACAAGGCTGGTACCAATTTGCCGACTCCGGGGACATGGAAGGCTTGGTGGGCCATGGGCGCAGAGACCGATTCCACGTGGGTGTTGCAGGGCGCCTCGGACCACTGCGCTACACGCGCCCATGTGACAACTATGCTTGCCTACTTATGCTTGAATGGCCCGCCCTCACTGGTTGTGCGGGCCCTAGCATAATCTCCATTTTTCGGAGATTTGCTGGTTAAGCCATTATGGTTCTCTGGAGTCCCGCGGTCAGCATGGCCAAAGTCTGCTTCAGGTTTTCACCACCAAGGGCAGTCGCAGCCCTTATGGATCAGAGCGAGATTTACCACCATCCGACTTTGATACCAGGACGGTGGTGGATCCCAGTATTGGTTTACTCTTGGCTAAGCTTCCCGATGGAAACGCCAGACTCCTCAGCTTGGGAGACCTTGCCAGGGGTTGAATCCCCCGCCGTACATGGCAGTGCTACACCCAAGAACACCTCCCAACCAAGATAAGGCGGTAAACCGTTGGGAGGTGTGACAACTATAACAGTATTAAGTAGGTGTCACAATTAATTAATTAATTCATTCATTCATTAATTAGTAAGTGTCACATAACTGTGGCAATTATAACAGTAATAAAATCACAATATTGCTGAGATATTTGCAAAACTCCAGGCCGCAGGTGTCTGTGGTGGGAAAGAACGCGTTATTGTCCTTTCCGGGAGTAACGCTTTCACCACCACGCCATGCGGGTTTTTCGTTACGCCTGTCTCTCAGCTAGTTCTACCGATCAGTGCTGTCAGCAATCAAACAGCAATGGATTCAACTACAGCCTCAGCTTAACTGGGTTCAATGCCGATGTGGGCTCCCCAGATCAATCCCGTTGACGGGTGATTGTTGACGGCGCTGATCGATAGAACTAGCTGAGAGGCAGGCGGAACGAAGGACCTGCATAGTGTGGTGGTGAAAGCGTTACTCCCGGAAAGGACAAAAAAGCCTTCTTCCCCACCGCTAACGCCTGCGGTCCGGAGTTTTGCAAATATCTCAGCAATATTGTGGTTGTATTGCGCTTAATGCCCTGCCATAAAAATTATAGAAGACTGAAAATAAAAAGTAAAACATAGTAGTAAAATATTTTGTATTTCTCAGTGTTCAGAGAATTTTTGTGTTAACTGTAACTGTGGTGGTATACGGTATTTACGTGAAGTATTTGTAAAATAAATTAATCAAAATTCAGTGGTAAATATCATGGGAAACAAGAGGGTTCTTTTTTCTCTTGTTAACCACATTTGGCTCGTTATTGTTAGTTCTCGCTCGTAACCTGCTATTTCTAGGATAACAGGAGCAAATTCTTGGATTACTTTACTTTCTATATAGTAAGCGTCCAAACTCGTTGAGATCGTGATCTACTTGAAGCGATGAATACGATAAGATACTGTCGATGCGTCCACTGTTCTCCTACTTTTTCCAGGACATTATATAAAGAGTATGCAATGGAAGTTACTAAACTACTAGAATGGATCTGACATCGGATTCAGTGGTTCCGGGAGCGCTTAGGAGGAAAAAAGTCGTGTAGATAATGCCTCTGTTGAGTATACAATTAGTACTCCAATAATTGGTAGCTGTAGAGATCGCCCACAAAGTATGTGTATTTCCTACCAACACCATCGACAGTATTTCGCTGACATCGTCGAATAGCTACAATTGTTTCTATTGACATTTCTAAGAGCATCAGTTGTTCGAGAAAGTTCCAGTCTTTGTTCATGTCGCTTATGTTTAACATAAGAATTATCCCTTGGAAACACATTCATTCCGAAATCTGGGGACTGAACGCAACAATCTGTTAGAGGAACGTCGTCTACGGTATTGAAGCGAGACTGCCCAAGGCATTTTATCATTTGTGCATTTTTAATTAAGCTAGGAAGAAATATAAGTATTGCACACTTTTCGTTTTGTTTTATTATCTTCATTATTGCTGATGAATATTCTGGCTGAAGCGGCTATCGATATCCTTTGTAATTCTGAAACCGATCGTCATTTAACCTCGGCGTGAGTAATCACTAAATTCCTGTGGATTGTTCAACTTACACGACGTTAGTATATAACTCTTATTCGGCTGACTTTTCGACGTTTTCGTCTTCCTAAGAGCCGACTACTCGAATAGATTGTCCCCCGTCGTTTGTCTCTTCGAGATGGTTACTTCATCGTCGTTTGAAGTCCAATTTTCCTCAGTGAAACACCGCCCCAAGGGGCAACATTATCCTGTAGCGCTCTTTTACGCAAGACGGCTGTTGCTAATAGTGTTGTTTTTAACAATAATGTAGTGTTGTTCCATGCTAACGGTTTACCACCTCATCGTGGCTAGGTGTTCCAGGATATCGGAATGCAATGTACAGCGTGGGGAATTCATCCTTCAGGCAGGGTGTCCCAAGCTGAGAAGGAGCCCAGCGTTTCCATAAGGAAGCCTAGCTAAAAATAAGGCAATTACCAATATCAAAATCCAACACTGTGCTGGTATCAAACTAGTCCCATAATGGCAAATCTCCCTCTGATCCATAAGGGATGCGACTTCCTGTGATGATGACGACCTGCGGCAGACTTTGGCTTGGTTGATCTCGGGACTCCAAGAGATCACAATGGTTAAAAAAGCAAAACCACAAAGAAATGTAGACTGTGCTGAGGTCTGCACAACCAGGGAGTGCGGACCATCCAACTATAGCGTTATTTTCCAACTCGATACGAAGACGACGACGCTACATCGAGAGGGCGGTTTACTGTGGACCCCATCTACTGGAGTCATCGGCTCTGAGTAAGACGAAGACGTCGAAATGTTAGCCGAATAAAAGTTGTACATCAACCTCGTGCAGACTGAACAATTCAAAGAAACTTGTATCCTGCCTATTCAATATGAATGTCATTATGATGGTGCCGTAATGTGCTGGCACATACATAGATGAATAATGTTCTGCTACTTTAACCCTTTTATTTACTGCCTTTTCCTTTTTAATGGCAGGGTATGTTGCGAAATATAACTCGTATATAATGCTGAGATATTTGCAAAACTCCGGACCGCAGGTGTATGCAGTGAGGAACGAACACGCGCTGTTGTCCTTACCAGGGAGCAGCGCACTTCACCACCACACCATCCGGGTCCTTCGTTTTGCCTGTCTCTCAGCTAGTTCTATCGATCTTTTTGCCATCAGCAATCACCCGTCGGATACCCGGGTCCCTCGTTCGACTGTGATGAAAGCAGGTTGTGGAAACGTCAGAACAGCGAAGACTGCAAGAAATGGTGTCAGCTCTCACCTGTAGCACTTCTTTTAACAAGAGGGGAAGAAAATCTATCAATAACATTACTAAAGCAAACGAAAAATAAAGGCTGTATTTTAAGAAATGTTGGTAACGTTTAGAAAAAGGGCACTGGTGCACCAGGAACCATAGCAATTGGTTACTAGAAAAAGATTTCAAAAGAGAAATTGTGACGTCATAACGTAGAAAAATTAGTAAAGTACGGGTGATTTTCGATGACTGGTGATTGTTGATAGCACAGTCGACGTAAAAAACTTTGAGAAAAAGGCAAAGCAGGAGCCTCGGTAGTGCACTGGGTAACACGTGACCCCAGAAATGGTAGTCTCGTGTTCGAAGGAGCTCTATGGTTCCGGGTCTACCAAAGATCTCGGTACCATTGCGATTGTAATATTCGTAGTCGTATTAAAGAATTTTGCCCATACAATGTTTTGAGTACCATTACTAGTTCAATTCACTAAAATGTGGCGCTTACGATGATCGAAAACCGAGGATTCATTGCTGAATGGTTGAATACGCTTATAACTAGAATCACTTAGCATCAGGTTCATAAGAATTTTTTCTAAAATATAAAACTAAATGAAAAATATGAAGAAATAAATATATATGCGCATTCATGTAGTCAATAGTAAACAACGCGTGCGAAAGCACAAAAAGAGCTCGTTGAGCGCTTTGCCTACGAAGTGTTTGAACGTCAAACGATACGTTCCGGATACTGGTTCGGTGTCGAAAATGTACTATA